CAGCGCAGAGGGGCACTACGCATTGCTTCTGCATACCGTACAGTGTCCGCGGACGCGGTTCTAGTTATTTCTGGCGTCATGCCAATTGAGCTACTTGCTTACGAGCGAAAAGAGATTTACAATCTCAGTGCCGAGATAGGTCGAGCAGCTGCCGCGGCAAGGGCGCGCGAGCAACTGATCCAGCAGTGACAACAAAACTGGAACGCGAGCACAAAAGGTCGGTGGACGCACTCCCTGATAGCCAACCTTCAAACATGGCTGAACAGACCACATGGGGAAGTCGATTTCTACCTGACGCAATTCCTCACCGGTCATGGTTACTTCCGAGAATATATTCACAGAATGGGAAGGGTGGACTGTGGAAACGTCGAAGATAACGTGTACCACACATTCTTCACCTGCGAAAACTTCTTGATTTCGCGCAGAATGTTGGAAGAAAGACACGGAGACATAACTCCGAATAACATAGTTGGGGTAATGATCTCCAGTGCAGAAAAGTGGGAAGCAGTTGCGAGAGAGAGAAGCGCGCTCCTGCATCTGAAGACATGCAGAATTGCGGTGCCAGATCCGTGATTCTTGCGCGGGCGGTGGGAGTTTGGGCTTTAGTGGGTAGCCCAACACGCTTCGGTTGGAGTCCCACACTCGGGGAAGGTAGTATAGAGACCAGCGCCCCCGGCCAGGGCATAAAGCATTTCCCTCTGCTACGAAAAAAAATAAAAATAAAAATGATAATAAAACCGCATGGGCATCTCACATTAGAGATGGTTCCAGAAACAAGAAACCAAGCCTCGGACGAGCGTCGTAATGATCCAGGACGACGCGGGATACTGCAGCTCGACCCAGATACCGAACAGGATAGCCCAAGGACATCAGCCGGACGTGTCTTCGTAGATCAATCTACGACCACCAAAGCTGGAAAGCCCCGGCAACGCATGGTGTGGACAAACCAAATGAATATAGATGTTTTGCGTTGTTATTTCAAAACCACAAAATTGGAAACCATAAAAATAGGGTATAGAGAAGAACTTTACCGTCTATTTAAACAAATCTACTCCCAATACACTGAAGTACCACCACAAAGACTGGCAGACCAAAAACAAGCCATAGTAACCAACAATAGACTAAACAACATAGAAATACAGACAATAAAAGAAGAAACTACCCAGGAACTAAACACGAGGCAAATTACTGAAGAAACCCAACATTTACCTCATCATAACAATACACCCACACAAAACAATACAGAACCAGAAATATCCGCGGAAAACAACAATAGCTCAGAAGCACCCGATGGAAACATCCACCCACCTTCTGTAACGAACAACAACCCAAACGATGAACTACTAGAAAAAATAAGAAATGAAATAGCGACAAACAGAATCAAATGGGAAGGGACAAACCCAGTGACCAGACCATCAATCCCAAAATTGATAATGAGAAAGGGTACAACAAACATACTAAATATAATAACCAACCATATACTCCCCACGCAGGTGCACATTGACTCAACATTAGAAGACATCCATACAAACGCGGCTAGAAACAAAAAAAAAAAATGCACAACATAAGAAAAGATATAGCACGACTAACACATCAACACATCAACATAATCAACCACATAAACCAAATCATATCTAACAGTGAAGAGTCAATAGAAGGGATATTAGACACACGAAAACTGAAACTAAGAGTTTATTCAGCCAGGGTCAAAAGATATAAAACATCGAACCGAAGGAAAATAGACAACATAAATTTTACAACTAATGAAAAAGTATTCTATAGAAAACTAACGACTCATCCAAAACCCCTGCCGAACCGCCGACAACTGAAGAAGTCACCAAATACTGGGAAGGGATATGGTCCGTACCCACACACCACAATAATAACGAAAACGGGATAATGGAAGAAGAAAAACGACAAACAAACCTAGAACCACAACAACAATACATAGTTACCACACAAGATTTAACTGAAGTTATTAAAAAATGCATAATTGGAGGTGCCCTGGGATCGATCACATACACAACTTTTGGTACAAACGATTCACCTCTACACATCAACGTCTAACAACTCTCATAAATGAAATGTTTGAAACCCCACATAAATTGCCAAGCGACAGGTAAAAGATTTATAAAACCAAAAAATGCACAAACAACCAATCCAGCCAACTATAGACCTATAACCTGCCTACCAACTCTCTATAAAATTATCTCATCAGCAATAAGTAGAAACATCGACAAACACCTCACACAAAATAATATACTAACAAAGGAACAGAAAGGATGTAGAAAAGACAGTAAAGGATGTAAACAGGGACCAAACATAACAGTTATTGATGAAAACTGTCATTGAAAAATTCACTATGAAGGAAATGTTCTACAACTAAGTGATACATACCAATCGATTTCTTTTTTCGGCCAGAATCAAATTTGAAAATAAATTTTTATTTGCAATTTTTATGCAAACATTTAAAATAAATAACAATTATTTCTGATTTTTATTTTATAAATCCGAAATAACAATTATTTTTGATTTCTATTTAAATAATCTACAAATAAAAGTTATTTTTGATTTGTATATTATATGTTTTAGATGATAGTTATTGAAGATTTTTATTTATAAAAATCATCAATAAATATCAGTCAGTGACTTTTACTTATAAAAGTCATCAATATAAATGAGTCACTGTCTTTTATTTTTTAAGTCATACTTATAAAAGTCATTATCATTTCTCGCAGTAAAGAAGATGTTGGATAACAAACATATTTTTATACCCGAGCGCACTTGTGCACAAGGGTATATTAATTTTGTTCACATAACGGTTGTTTGACAAATGTATACATAAATGATCAGGATGAAAAAAGAAATCGTTTAAGCCATGTCTGTCCGTCTGTCCGTCCGTCCGTATACACGATAACTCGAGCAAAAATTGAGATATCTCAACGAAATTTTGTATGTAGGTTTCCCTTAATCCAAGGTAGGTTGGTATTGAAAATGGGCGAAATCGGACTTTAACCACGCCCACTTCCCATATAACGGTAATTTCCAGAAATACGAAAAC